TGCTACTACTACTACTACTGTTACTACTACTACTACTACTACTACTACTACTACTACTACTACTACTACTACTACTACTACTACCTCCACTATCACTACTGTTACTACTATTCCTACTATGTGTGCGTCGCTTCCCCAGGGGCGACGCGCGCACCGAGAAATCTAATACGTTATGCGTCGTGGCTTGCGCTTTCTGGCCGCACCGCTCGGGAAACGATATACTGCAAGGTGGGTCTACTAGACGCGCGCCTCCAAGGAGGACATATACGTATGTCTTTGTGCGCTCCATGGCACTCGGAGACCGATGAGGAATTTTTGAATGCACGCTGTGGCGTCGCTGGCTGACGCTGCCAGCTGGCGTGGCACCAGGATGCATCCTGCACGAAGCGAGTCTGCGGTTGCCGACTTCACTCGTACCTTGCAGGGCTGCTCGCCAACTTCGATTCCGATCTTGACCGCAGACGGGCTAAAGGCGATGTAGGTAACGGCGATGTAGGTTTCGGCATTGTGGGAACGCGTGGCTCGCGCTTTCCTGCAATTCGCTGTGTCGTGTTCGCTCAGTCCACTCGCAGATGGGACATGCAAGACAGTGTGGTTTGTGATTTCCTTCAGTTGGGTTCCCAGCGTCGCCGTCAGGCAGCATCGCCGTCAGCCCGGCCCTGGGATCTCGATGCGGTCCGATGCGGTACGAACCGATACCCTCTCGGACCTGCAGGGGGCGACCCTGAGCGGCGGCCCAAGTCGATGCGATGCCGGTCCGGGCGCGCGACTCCATGAGGCTCGGGCCTGCCCATTTCCTGGCCGTCCTTCCTTCGTCCTGGAAGCAGCGCCGAAGGATTGATCAGGAGGAGGAGGAGGAGGAGGAGAGGTTGAGGCAAGGGGACGGCGGAGGGGAGAATGAGGAGGAGGAGGAGGAGGAGGAGGAGGAGAAGAGGGAGGAGGAGGACGAGGAGGAGGAGGAGAATGAGGAGGAGAAGGAGGAGGAGGACGAGGAGTCCCAAGGGAAGGATGAGGAGGATGGGGAGGGACCAGCGTAAACCCAACACTCGTTAACGCTACAAGCTGCCCTCATCATAGTCCCCCTGCAAGGAGTCATGTCTACTTAAAGAAGTGCCCTCTTGGGGGACAACCGTGTGAAAATCTTGAGACGTGCCAAAACAGCATTCTCAGGCCACGAGTGAACCTGACTGTTGCGTCTTAACGATCTGGAATCGTGCCCGGACACCATTCCTGGGATTTCAGCACCGCGAATCAGTGTAGCTGTTGCGCCCTGATAATCCTGAATCGTTTCAGAACGCTAATTCTAGTATGTCGACCATGGGAATTCGTTATGTTTTTAAAACGAATGCGCGCGGCGCGAAGGCGAGAGCCACATTTTGAAAACCATCGCCCTCCTTCCGTGAATCTGTGGCCAATTCTTCAGTCCGCGCTGCTCCTGGGTTCGATAGAGAGGAGTTGCAGTGGAGACCCATGCCAAGAAGCACCCTGCTCGCCTCCAGGGTGCCCTGGGTCTCTTGGGTTTCGATGGTTCTGACATGGAGAGCGTGGCGCTCCCGCACCACAAATCGTTGGACGTCCTGGGGTCTCGGGGCTGGGTTTCTTGTGGAAGGTTTCTTGTGGTCGAGCCCCTCCTGTATTTATAAGGAGGAGGAATCTTGTGGTCGTGTCCTCGCGGTCCCAGCTTCTCTCTTTCTTCCTCCTCTCCTTCCCCTCGCTCCTCTTCTCCACGCCGGTGTTTTTTATACTTCTGGGATGTTGCTGTAAATAAAGTCACTGGTCAGGTCAGCCGCGCATCGCCACGGAGTGCACGTGTTACTCGAGATGATGCGGTCACCCTCTTTCCTCTACCTCCTTATTCACCAAACAAAATATAAGGAGCAGGAATGCAGGAGGCGGTCCCCCGTCCAGAGAGTCGCGCCGGAGGTGCCCGTCGCGAGCCGGGTCAACGCGCTGATCTTCGGGCCCCCAAAGGCTCGACCAGTGCTCCGCTTCCAGATGCTTCTGCCGCCGCTTCCCCGCGCTCCAAAAAGAAGACGCCGCCTTCGAGGGATTGGTGGGTTGTCATCCCTTCCTCGGCGGAGGGCGGCAGAAGCGGAACTCAGAGGAGTAGAGAGGTACGGTGGAGGCCCATGCCAAGAAGCACCTTGCTTGCCTCCTGGGTGCCCTGGGTTTCTTCGGTTTCGATGGTTCTGCTGTGGAAGGCGTGACGCTCCCACACGAAAATCGATGGGCGTCCTTTGGTTTCAGGGTTGGGTTTCTTGTGGAAGGTTTCTTGTGGTCGGGTCCCTACTGTATGGAGCGTTCCACAACAGGCACCGTCTTCGAGGGATTGATGAGATGACGTTTCTTCCCTTGTGCAAGGCGGCAACAGCAAAACTCAGATGGGTACAAATGGTACCCATGCCGCTAATTACCTTTAAGTCGGGCATGTCCCTCTGCAGGAGGAATCTTCAAGAAGAGTCAAAAAATAGCCTGGGGACGCTTTTCGTGCTCTGTTGAATATATGTGAATATTATGTGACTACTTTCATTGTTCTTCCGAAATCCCCCATGTAGGAGGACATGCCCGACCTAACGCTACCTTTCTCTCGTCGCCGCGGCTGTATGCGCCTTGCAATGCTGGTCAGGACGCGCCCCAGGAGTGGCCCGGGGTGTCGCGGCATCGGTACACCTTGCGGTTGTCCCCAAAGAGACGGGGGCGGCTCTGCTGGTGGAAAGGGCCTGCGGAAGCAACCACGATCGGCCCTCCCAGAGAGACGCGCTCGTCCTGTGGGGTCCGATGTGTCTGGCGGGGGCCACAGCACCAAGTGCCCCTCGCTCCCACCTTGGCCCCGCTACAGTCCCAGTCTGGCTGGGGCGCCCACGCTCTTGCAGCCCCCCTCGGCCCCGATCCTCTGATCCTCCCCAGTCCAGCGTCCGCTTCCGTGCGCGCTGCGATCCCCTTTTCCTGAGATCGTAGGTTTTTGTCCTTCGCTCTGGAGTTCCTCCCCCCTCCCTTTCTCTTTCTTTCTTTCTTTCTTTCGTTTTTTGTTATTTCTCGCTCTCTCTCTCTCTCTCTCTTTCTCTTTTCTCACTTTCTGTCTGCCTGCCTGCCTGCCTGTCTGTCTGTCTGCCTGCCTGTCTTGCCTGTCTGTCTGTCTGTCTGGCTGCCTGTCTGTCTCTCTGTCTGTCTGCCGGTCGGTCAGTCAGTCAGTCTGTCTTTCTGTCTTTCTGTCTCTCTGCCTGTCATGCTTGTCATGCCTGTCTGTATGTCTGTCTGTCTGTCTGTCCGTCTGTCTGTCTGTCTGTCTGTCTGTCTGTCTGTCTGTCGGTCTGTCTGTCTGTCTGTCTACCTCTCTCTCTCCCTCCCTCCCTCTCTCTCCGCATCCCTCCTTCTCTGCCTGCCCCCCTATGCGACTCCTGGTCTGCGCGAGCAGGCGGCGCCCCGGGGTGGCGGGGGCCCCCTCGGAGTGGATTGCGCAGAGGCGCAGAGCATGATGGTGGTGCAGTGGGGGCCCACGCCAAGAAACACTCTGCTTGCCTCCAGGGTGCCCTGGGTTTCGTGGGTTTCGAGGGCTTCCTGGACAGCGCAGTTCCCCCAGGCCAGAAGTCACTGATAGACGTCCTGGGGCCTCAGGGCTGGGGTTTCTTGTGGACGGTTTCTTGTCGACCGGCCTCCGCTGTACGTCGCCGCTCGAGGCTGGAGGAACTGGCGTGCGCCGGCTGAGGGCTCTACACCAGGGTTCCGAGTCCGGCTCAGCATGTCCATTTTTCCCTCGCCCACTCGAAGTCGTGGCTTGCCGTCCACGCCCGCCTGCGGACCGACCCGATTCGACCGAGCCCCTGCCTTGCGGAACGGCGAGGATCGTACGTTCCCCCCTCCTCCTCTTCTCTTCCTCCTCATCCTCGTGCATCCTCCTCCTCCTCCTCCTCCTCCTCCTCCTTCTCCTTCTCCTCCTCCCTCCTCCTCCCTCACTCCTCCGAGGCACGAGGCGAGAGGATCCAGGAAGCGAGGCTGCGGTAGCTTGGGGACTCGCAGGGCGTCCCCCTCGCGGCGGCGGCGCGCGTGCCGGCCTTTTGGGAGAGATTTGGGGTTCCGGTCAGCGCCTGGCCCCCCCACCCGAGACTGGCCAGGAGGGAAACACGTACACGTGGTTCATTTATAATTCTTGGAGAGTTCTCTGATTTGGTTGGGGGCCACGATCCTTTCATTTCTAATTGTTCTGTCCTGGGCCTCTTCCTGGCCACCAGGGGGCCAGGAACAAGTAGAAACGAGCACACTTAGAAATGAGCACGATTAGAAATGAACGACGTGTACGCAAACGCATCTGAGTTTAGATTCCCATGACAGTATATGAACATATTGGGTGTGGAGGCGACGACGAAGATCCAGAAAATATTGGAAAATATAGGAAATCCTGGAATCTGTGTTGATGTGATTGTGTCCCCCCCCCTGCGGTCCCTGGAGCAGTGCACGCCGGGGACGGATGGCAGAGCCCTGCCCGTCACGGCAGGAGCTTGCCGTGGGCCGGAGGGCCGGCAAGGGTGCGCCCCGCACTGCCGTCCCAGTCCTCGTTGCCATCGTTGCTGTGGCCGTCGCCGCGGGGGCCCTCAGAGCTACCTCGTTCCTCCGGCTGCGTCTTCCTGCTGGATGGCGCCTCTGCGATCGATGGTTTTGGTGTGCTCATGATCTTCCGTCCGTCCTCCTCGAGCCCCAGTTTCCTAGACCGTGCCTGGTTATGTCGTTCTTCCAGCTGCGTCTTCCTGCTGGTGGCGCGTCTGCGATTGATGGTTTGGTTTGGGTGTGTTGATGATCTTCTGTCCATCCTCCTCGAGCCCCAGTCACGGCGACCCTTCCTGGTGATGTAGGTCCTTCCGGAAGGCCCAGGTATGCCAACGCTTTGAGGCTTTCTGCAGCCGACTGAAACTCCCCTGCCCCCGTCCCTTGGATCCTGGCGCCGTGATGCCTCGAGAACGGGGCCCAGCTGCCCTCGATCCTCCTCCACGGGGTACTTTTCCCGCCGCGCGCCGCTTTGCTGTCTGCGCGGCCGGACAGGACGACCTCGGGGGCAGAAGCAGCCGAGTTTGGTCCTGCGGTGCCTCACATGATCCGGGCCCCCTGGGCGCCGTTAGTGACCCCTGCGTGCGAGCCGCGCCAAAGCCGTGGTGACGAGCCTCCCTCGAGGGCCCTGGAACAGCAGGACGAGGAGTACGAGGTGTGAATGGGTCCAGTCAGTGCCGCCTGCGATCCAGTTCGATGCGATTCGACATGCTGGCCGGGGCCGCGACCTCGATTCGATTCGGTTCCGTCCCGTTCACCGGCATCGGCGGGGGGGCCAGCCGTAGCCAGGCGCGGCGATCCGGTATCGATGCGAGAGGGACGATTCGCTGGCGATCCGATCTGTTTCCGATGCGATCGGGCTTCGCGACTCCGTCCAGCTTTGGCCTGCTGGTCAGGGAGCGAGTGGAGGACCAGGAGAAGGCTGGAGGAGGAGTTCTCCTCTCTCCGGACCCTGGCTCCAGCAGGTTTTTGCTTCCGCCCTAGACCCTGGCCCTGGAGGTCCCCGGAGGCCCCCAGAGGTCCCTGGAGGCCCGCGGAGGACCAAGAGGACGTCCACAGACGTACTGCAGGAACAGAGCAGACAGCACAGCAGTGCAGGAACAGAGCAGACAGCACAGCAGAGCAGTGCAAAAAAGCTTCCGAAGCGCCCCCCCCCCCCCCCAACGGGAGCTCGTTTTTATTGAGGTCTGGGCGATCACGGCCGTGATCGGCCCTCTCCTCCTCCCCCCCGGATCACGTCACGCCATTGTCTGCCCACGTTAGCAAGAGTTTCCGAAGTGGCATTGCAGTCAACCCGCAGAGTAAGGATGAGCAACCTTCGTACCCTCGTATCCTTGCCTCCTCGGTCCATCCTTGGCTACTTTCGTTGGCCGCGCCCCGCTCGACGAGCTTCGAAGCGGGCGTCCAAGGCCTCCTCATCCTTGCCGCGCCTCCTCATGGCACGGGCAGGCTGTACAGTCCAAACCCTAATACGGACGCGCGACTTTGCTCAGGGTAACTACCCTTGTGCCCTCGGGGTTTCCGTCGTCCGCCGCCCCAGAAATCCTAACTTCGGCCTCCAAGGGTCTTGCGTCCTTACCGCGCGTCCTCAGTAGGGTTTTTGACTGTAGTCCCCCGCCCATGGGGGGGAGGAGGAGGAGGAGGAGGAGGAGGAGGAGGAGGAGGAGGAGGAGGAGGGAGGGAGGAGGAGGAGGAGGAGGAGGAGGTGAGGAAGAGGAGGAAGGCCCCGCAGGAGAGGAAAGGAGGACGAAGGAGGAGGAAGGTAAGAGAGAATTTTGGAGAAGTTAGAGGAGGACGAGGAGGAGGAGAAGGAGGAGGAGGACGGCCCTGCGCGCCGCGCCTCTCCTGGCGGCGGGCCTCCCGCGCGGGGCCCCACAGCACAGCTGGCCTCGGCGGGTCGCGCCGCAGCGCCCACGCCTCGGCGACGTGGAGCACTCCGGAAATCAGGAGGGGAAAAAACACACAGACACAATTAATCGTCGATTCCCAAGAAAATATGGGAAAATATGGGAATTGGGGGGGACGACAAAAACCCAGAAAATATGGGAAAGTATGGGGGATCTTTTTTATTTGTGTGTATTTATTTGTGTGTTTGTGGGCCCCTTCAGGAAAGGCCCTCGCGCCTTCGAGGATCGAAGGGCCGAAGAAGAGGGAGCGCCCAAGGCAGAAACTTTTGGCGCTCCGCGCGGACCTCTCGGATCCGGGCTGGCCCCCCCCCCCCTAGCGGCGCCTCCGGCGCCGCGCCTGGCGCGCCCCGCCCGCGCGCCCGGGAGGGGGGTCCCAGCGCGGATCCGAGAAATCCGCGCGGAGCGTCGAGAATCTATGCGCAGGAGTTTTTTTTTTCTTCCTCTAAGACAGGCCTGCGCCTTCGAGGATCGAAGGAGCTGACATCTTTTCCTCGGCTCGGTGGCCAGCGAGGGGGGGAAGTGAAA